CTTTATCACAACTGGATTCCTGGTTATTAATAGATTTACTAAATAAGCCGAGATTTTTGTCTCAATATATGTAAAATTTATATGAATTATTCATCTAACAAAGTATTTAGTAGAATGATGCGTTGCACTTAAGAATGAAATCCAGGAACTCTATGATATATACATATGCCAGCGTTAAAGGTATACTGCCACAGGGAGAATTCTTTTAAAATTTGTTTTAATTTCCTTTTTATTAATTTTTAATTATTTTAATTATTAATATGTAAATTAAAAAATTGTAAATACTGTATTTTATTATTGATTGTTATGTTTAGTTACATGAATAAATATTTATTTAATTAATATGTGAGTAACAGAACTAAAATACGGTTACATACACTATATTACAATTTTGGAAATAATATTATACTAAGTAGGTAAACATTTCAAAATTCTATTCGACTTATTGACCCACTATGATCCTATCTAAAATCTGATAAAGTCTTCATATCATTTATAACAAATAGAATTTGTTTTCTTAATAGATGACACCTAGCAAACACATTTATACACACAAACAATATTTCGGTATTCAAATTCTACGCGCTTAATTTTACATCAAAGGATGAATACAGTTTATACAGGAGGTATAATTACAAATCCCTCGAGTAGGCAATTTCCAATGTTTTTGCGCAGCGTGCGGGTACGTGCTGTAAAAATAATTCGACGTTCCGTCGGGATCGTTTGTAAAACGTCACGCGTAAAACATATTATAAAGCCAATAAAACGTGTTTACAAGGGTGAGTAGATCCGGCGCTCTTGGGCGGGCGGGCGGCGCGTTCCGCGCCGCGCGATATCCGTAAACATTTTAGCGCTGCAATAAATTTAACATTATCCTACTGGCAAGACATTCTGTTTTCTTCCATTCCGGGATTTTGTTGGTTAGCGTCTGTAATCTCGACAGACTCGGATTTTCTGCTCTTTGAATTAAGGATTATATAATACTATTATAGAATCGTTTGTATTATCGCTTTCAATATTTTTTGTACATTATAAATATAAATGATTCATAAGGTTCTCTTCGCTTATTATAAACGACAATCTTTTGTATCGACGCATCTTCATTAGACTAATACATGCATACGTCATAAATCCGGAAGCCTTAGCATATCAATGCAATATACTAACATAATACATTAATCAGTGTAAGTCTGCACTACCCTTTGCAACGTCGATCCACTTTTCTACGGATGCGAGATTAAAGGGGAGAGTAACAAAATGAGAAATGGAACGATTTCAGAACGCATTGTTGGATGGCTGGCCGTTGTCGGATTTATGACAAAGAATAGCCGGATGATTCAATCAGGCCAGTTCTTTAGTTTGTTACATTCATGTTACAGTATCCATGAGTCTTATTGTTATGAGCTTGTTGCCTCTTACTCGATTTGTTCATTTTGTAAGGATATCGGTCAAATTGTTCGGAATAAAATTCATACGAACTACGAATAAATTTATTAGTACTTTGCGGTGTTTGATGTTTTTTATCACCCACATTGGTTGAAGATTTTAAATGTTTAGTGATAGAATTTCATTCGGTATTATAAAAGACAACTTAATTTAATATTAATAAAATAGATTAAACTTAATGTGTTAATATTGACAATATAAAATTGACAAAAAATAATTAATGAAGTGTGCGTTGTGTAATCTTCGGTTTATTAAATTGTTCCTGACTGTTTAAAATACATTTATAATACAAAGATTGACATAAAAACATTTGTTTGATAGTAATGCTCCTAAAAACACATTGCAAAAACATAATTTTATTAAATCTGCGCACAATTCGAATGCAATTAGTTGTGTCATCTTTGAAAACATTCAGGTGACGATCATACAAAGGGCAAACTTTTAACAAATAGGTATTCAGTACAGGAGTGTAATTTACAATTTAAATTTCTTAAAGTTCTCGCGAAAAGGTGGAGAGAGGGGGTGACTTCCACTACATCAATCACTCGTGGACCCTGCGCCTGAACATTTCTAATTATTCGCTTCTCTTTGTAACAACCAAAATTTTGCGGATATATCCATTCCACAGATAACAGAGAACTTGGCTTTATGGTTTAAGAGATTTTATAATTATTTTTAATTAAAATATTTAGATTAAATTATTTGAATAACCAGTGCAAGAAAAGAATTTTCTAACTTTTATAACTTCATACGGCTACTTTCTAATACAATTGATATGAAGATATTGCTCCGCATATTTGCTTCAAGTGTATTTGCCTACAAATGTCTCTAGAGGAAAGAGGCTTGTCTCGAGGAGCACTTGTCTTCAAGAGGGTACTTCAAGGTGACAAGCTCTCTCTAATCCCCACAGCTTAACGGCGTCTTCATCGACACATTTCTACTTGACCTTACCATTAATAAGCTATTTGTAATACCTTTGAATTGTTACATTTTTATATTTTTTGTAATTATAGAACGATTTTTCAACACAAAGTTAGTGAGAATGTTGATTTGAAAGTGAAATAAACAATTAATTTAGTCAACTGTTTTATCTTAATATATGATAATCTCGAGATTCTAAGTTTAACGTAATGAGTAATATTTTTAACTCCGCAATGCGAAATAAACGACTATATATAAACATCAAAATACTCCTTAAAGACTTGCCACTGAGGTGGAGATTTAAAAAAAGTTTATAGTTTATTGTCGAAGTTGTACATATTTGTATTCAAACGTCGAAAAGAGCCGTTATGAATACCTACAGTGTACTAGTATTATCTGCGTGTTCGGTAATGTATTCAAATATGTATCAAGCTCCATCCGCACCACGTTGTCGTTGTTATTTTATTTCATACGCGTGACGTCACATCAGCTCCATTTTTTGCTAAACAAGATAATATTCGAATCATATTTATATTTATTTACATCCGACACTATATAGACAATACAACTATATTTTTACAACTACAAAATAACGTTATCCAGTATGTCCCACCACAGTCTCATTAATGTACAAAGAGTAAATAAAAATACACGTACTTATTACTTAAATGCGCTAGCGCACGTGCTGTGTGAAGAATTAGACGACATCCCTATCGACGCTGCCGGCGTCGAACAGATATTGATTACTTGTCTGTAAGGAATACAAATGTATCAGGAAACTGTGTTCAAGCATTCCTTTGAGTGCCATCCCTCGTACTGACAACAAACATTAAACTTCATATGATGTTTCATGTCTCCTGTCGTTGAACAGTATTACCTTACCAGTTTCTGAAGCCTATATTTAAAACGGTTTAACTGGTATGCAATTTAAATGAATCTGCAAAAATTTATATGAAACGATTCTAGGAAAAGCTCAGCCATAGCCGGAGAGCAATGAGAGCCCGCGGCAGCTAACTAACAGGTGCACGTTGGCAAAGAAAAATTAAATAACGCAAAAAGGAGAAATCGCGGCGGGTGAGGGGGTAAAGCGGGAGGTTCTTTTCTTCGAAAAGCCAGTTTCCTTTAGTGGAAACAGATAACGATCCACTGCCGACGACAGAATACGTAACTGCACTAAGCATAGATCTACATACTAGTGGCATGGCTTATCAAAGATAGCTAACACAACAGATTTTCTTTACTAGTATGAATGTCTTCAGCGACTTTGCTGCTGAATAATTTTTTCTTTGTACTGAACAATATGAATTCAAATTATAATACGTTTAAGAAGTACTTTTTATTTAAATAGACTATACATAAATTTTTATCAATAATAATAACATTACAAACAGGCTCCTGAAGTATGCCAGGCTCCTAAAGTAGTGAGAACTGTATTTCAGAAGCCTGTGACTATCACGTTACAAGTGTGTATAGCAAAATAAAGAATTAATTATAATCAAAACAAAAAAATGAACAAATTAATTAATTCAGTATAGAAATCGGGTGGATATATAAATTCGTATTAAGTAAGGCTTATTTAAATACTACATAACATTAACTTTTATAAAACCAGAGATAAGCCATAAAATTATTCAAAATGAAGACGAACATTAAAAAGTATCCCCGAAGTTATGTAGCTGAGCGGCATACTAAAGTGAATAGCATCAACGTAAGTTGCAAATTCAAGAGGTAATTATTACAAAGAGATTTTTAGTTCAATGCAGAGTTGGCATGTTCCGCGAATTTGTATGAAATGAACATAGAGGGTTATTTATACTGTGTCGCTCGGGAACGTGCACCCAGCTCGTGACTTGCATTGTAACCGACTGTAGGAACGATGCTCATCTAGCTATTAACTAATTAAAACTTATTGGCTTTGTGTGACATAAGCTAAAAACTTTTGTGTAAACAATGTATATATGTTTCAATTGTAATTTGTATGATAATTAAATATCACAAGTGCATATTACGTTCATTGAAATAAAATGTGAGCTCATTATATTTTAATTATAAAAAGTTCATACGGTTCATAGTACACAGTCACAGACACATTCTTAATCTTCAAGTTAGATTAAGAACAGGCATAGAAATAGAAAATCCAATCGTTATAAAATAAAGAAAAAATTGAAGTATGTAAGAGCGCAGTACGCTAATAGACATCATTACCATTCAAAGTCGGTAGGTATGGTTTTCCGCCCGGCCACCTTGTGAATATGCAAAGTGGACTACGTAAAATATTTGACTCCCGTGTCGTAGAAAATAGCATTGTCATGTATATTTTAATGAAGATTAATATATGATGTTCTTTCAACGATTTTGTGCTTATCTAGATTATCTATTCATATTCTCTCGGTGGAATGAAAGTTATAAATCTAAGTAGGTAATGAATAAAAACCTGTCCTTATGTGCTACGTTAAATTTAACGAGTTCATTTTAGAATGTCGCCTGATGAATCTTATTCAAATTACGACAAGGGAAATAGGGGAAATAATATTATAATATTCTTCGATAAACTGATAAAAAGCGCACCGCCAACATGTCAGAGCAAAAATAGCGAGGTAGGGCGTCCCTCGCAGTGCGGTATTGTGCCCGAAATGACACATGAAAAGCGTCGAGAGCGTAGCGCTGCTGCCTTCACAAAAGGCTTACAGATGCGCGCACCAGAAGATTTTAATGAGGCAACGACTCTGTGTGATTTTATCGTGTATGCTTTAATGAGAAATAACCAAGCGCATCCTCTTTGACTGCACTCATACGCAGATACTAAGTATAAAGATTGTCACGCCTACGTGGAGCAAACAAATTGCAAAAATAACTAACGTCTAACTCAAAAGCTTTCTATGAAGCCTTTGCACTAGGATTGCCACGAAATTAGTAATTTTCACCATTGTTCAAATACATACAACGTGGGGAAAGTTGAAGTCGGTAAAATCATTCCTGTTATTTAAAAACAATAAAATGAATTAGGGGAAGTTGGAAAGTTACAGTATCCGGATACACTGGCCAATTCTCATCAATGCAAATCACGTTGTCGACTCGTCAACCCAATTACCAAGAAGTGAATTTAAATAAAGATAAGTATCGCCCTCGAGGAGACAATGCTAATAGGAGGTGGAGGCGTGATAATAGGCTCCGACTGGGGCTGCGGCTCACCGCTGTAGGTGCTTTAATTAGATCTCTCGACTTACGCGCCCGCGAGCTTCAAAACACTTGTTCAATTAGTGATCAGACTTAAGAAATGGTATTATGGAAACGTGGAGTCGGTGAAATTGGCATTTTAGCGTTTAATTTTGTTTGTAAATGCCTCTTAATTACTCAATTTTATATTCAGTCGAGTCGTCGTTTAAGCGAAGTGTATAATAAGAATGGATACTTAATAGCTGCTGCTGTGTTAAAATTGCTTAACCTAATACAAATTTAACTTTCAACAACCAAAAGCTATGGTTTGAATTTATGACGGCCACTCAGCGCTGCAATTTCACGCATTGAAAACATTATTTGAGCGTTGGTCACGTAAAACAGCGTTAATACTTTTGTTGCTGAATAACTTTTAATTCGTTAACGAGTTTGCAAAGTTTTGTATTATTGAAATTAAATAATATTACACTGTAACTACTTAGTAATGTATTTTTCATTGTTATATTCTGCTTATGATCCCTTGATCAATTCTGAAATTTATTTCTAACCTGTTTGACCTGAATCTTCTATATCGAAAAATATATGAAATTATAGTTATATTGTGTTTTGACCGAGGTTAAAACAAGTCTAAAAGTTTGTTTCTTTTGTATATTTCTTTTTCGACAAAATAAGAAATTGAAAGGACGTTTTCGAGCGTATGGTCGACAGGAGGCTGATAAGAGGGGCGGGCAACTGTCAACATCTGCTTCCGCATTTCCGGTTAACTAACCGCGACATGACCTCATACCGGACTTTTGATACATTCATCATAAAATCCCGTCATTGAATATTGTAATACAAATTGTTACATTATGTAGCTGTTTAAAATATTGTACATTAACTAACATAAGTGACAATACCCATCGTGTCGTGATTGCAATTTAAACACTTAAAGATTCTCTAAGATGATATATAATAAATCCGGTGAAAATTATTTTTTACCAGTACTGCAAACGTCACGAATGCGAAAACATTTATTGTTTTTAAAAAGGTTTTATTCAGTAACACACTGATTATCGGTCAACTGTTTTACTACAAATTTAACTGTTTAACTACAAAAAAAGTTAGTACCAACAAAAATAATCTATCCACGAGGTTATTTTTATAGTTATTTATTTATATATATTTTTATATTACAAATATATTGTTACGTCTCACCGTATTTTACGAAAACTTTTCTAACAAATTGTTCTAGTACTAAAGCTTGTCTAAGGGTAGCTGTAAGTAAAATAACAACAAAACAAGTAGGTATTCTTCTACAATCCGTCCACTGAAAGATAATATGATACTTTATTTCTATTTTCTGTATTCACTCAGGGTTTATGTATCTCGAATAGTCACGTGCCGTCCCGCGAAGGGTGAGGCATACAAATAAGTGAAAGTCCGAAGTCCAAACACCCTACGCCATCTTTATCTACGTTTCTCTTAAAAGAATTTGATCGCATATGAGAATATTACAAGCAACATCTGTTACAAGGGACGAATAAACTTAAACATCGACACTAAAAACACGCGGACCAGATTTTATTATCGCTTATGAAATAAGTTTTCTTCGGTATATTCAATTATTCCATGCGATGCGATGCGATGGATTAAAAAGCATATTTAGCAAAGGCTGTGTAAGGGTGCTTATTACTTACTTTTTGGACTCATTCCAATACTTTTTAGTGAACGAAAAGTCAGTTGGGTTGAGTAATAAAACCTAGTATTGCTAGGGGCAACGATTACAGAGGATAGTGAGCACGGAATATTAAAAACCTTTACGTAAACTGTGACAGTTCTGATCATAGCGAGTTTATATATATTAGATTTTAATCTTTAATATACAGTAGAATGCATTTTTTTATGTTTACAAACTAATTAGTTGTATGATATGTTTTTGAATATCACTTTTGCCACATTCTATTAACGCACATTACGTTACCTCATATAAAGTATTGTTTCATCATAAAATTACGATGTTATTTGAGATAGTGGCGTAAGTAATACAATGCTTAATATGATTCCCAAAGACCTTTATCAGAATTGGAAAGAGTTGATTAATGTAATTCGTCACTAAATGTTACCTTATCAACATCGACTAATATTCTGTAGTTCTGTTTAATAAGATGATCTTTTTTGCAAACACAACATGGCGATCTGCAATGGTTAAATTATTTCAATGTCTTTCCAATTTGACTTTAAATTTTAAAGAAACACTACTACTATACTGTTTTAGATTGATATAAAAATTATATGAAATATATTATAAAATATAAAAATTTATAAAAATGTATAAAAAAAGCAATCTTTTAAATATTCTTCGTTTAGTTTAATAAACACCTCTTAGGGTCGATTCGACCAAACTTCAATTTATACACGAGTAACTATACCAAGAATAATCTATTCCATGATTTTAATCTCGAGTAAATCCATAGTCGTTTGTCCACGTAATCGATAGTATAATTGCGCTAGGAATAACAATACGCGAATAGCAAGAGAATGGGTGGAACGACAATAAAACTCGGCAAATAAATGTTGTTCTACAACGGTACAGTGTAAGAGCATACATCATGTCAACTCGATTTTGCCGTATTATAGAGTGAAAAAGTAGCTTTTAACAGGTGTCAAACGACAACAAAAAGTTTTTATTTCTTGTTTGTTTGAGCCTTTCGTCTAAAAAGGAACTTCTGTTGAGCCTAGTTGAATTTCATTCTAATATTATAGAAAATAAAAAATCTAAAAATAAATAATAAATTGTTTAAACGTTTCATTATACAATGCCAAACTATTAATTTATGTTGTTGACTTGAAATTAAAACACAGAATAATATTTGTGAAATGACAAAATCAGCTGATTGACTGACTGACGCCATTAAATTATTCTAGGAATAGCTGTTATTCCGTGAAACGGGGTATAGTAGCTATTCCGAATAAGCCCACTATTCTTAAATTTTATTGGTAAAACGTAAAATTGATTTACTCTGATTAATGAATTTATTTAAGATTAATTTACTCGGGAAGCTTAATCATCCGCGTAACTCGCTTTGTTATAGTTAGTATATATTTTAATTTTTGGACCCGGTAGATATTCGTTAGGAAAAGTGTGAAAGTTGGCGCGAATTCAAGAAAAAGTCGGAATTAGGTTACCTATTTGAAAAATACGGAAATAAATTGTAGATAGTATGTGAGTTACTAGAGTTTTTTACATTAATAATCCCGACTCCTCAAAAATACTAACATTATACGACTCATTATACTAATAAGAATGTTTTTTTTAAACAATCTTCTTCTCGACGTTGTTCGTAACTCCAAATAACATGAACATTAAACAATCTCGAAAATCATTTGTCCACTTATAAATCGGACAAATGAGGTACAGTTTAATATATACAGAAAAATCTGGACTAAGCGCGTTAGAAATTATAACGAGGTGGACACAATCAATTTGCCGAGACGTAGGGTTGTCAATTTGCGGCGAGTCCCGCGACGCTCCGTTGATGACTTCCGAGTGACCGCTCTTGATTTGCATAAGGCTTTAATATTATGAGATTATTCCTGAGTTAGGGGCCTCGGCGCAACCGATTCGTTATTACTGTTATTAGTTTGGGAATATTTAGTCAGCCCTGTCCTTTCCGCAACAATTTGTAATACCCTCATAGTGGGATTAGTTTCCGTGTTCTAACAGATGGAATTGATAAATGAAATATTAAGTCGAAGTGTTTAGATTATTATAAACACTACATTAAATTCCTAATGCATAATCAAAGGATTCACGGTACACGTATGAGACTTAACATTTAAAATTATTGTAATTATTTAAATATTTAATTGATTCGTTACTTAATCAATAAATAAATTATTATTATTAGATGATGGATATTTTAAACAAATGAAAACTGATATTAAACTGATCTATAATTTCTTTGTCGTGAATTCTATGTAAAATTAAAAATTTTACTATAACCGAACATATATCGTAGTTTAATTATACAAATGATTATGATGGAATCCCTCAAGCTAAGAGCAACGTCTTCGTGCCGCCACAAGTGACAAAGGGATTACCCCTGCACGGGGTTTGCGGTCGTTTAATTAACCCTTAAGTACCTTTGCACCCACTTTAATAGTCAGTGTGGTATTGGATCATTGCTAACGACTTACGTCTATTAAATAAACATTATTAGATGGTAGTTCATTTGTATTAATCTGATGTAATGATTCCGGGTTCATATATCATATTTTTACATTAAAAATAAACTGATATCAATAAACTTTATAAACTTTTTTTCTTAAATGTACGGCAACGAAGTAATAATTTCAGTATCAAGTGTACGAAACATAAAATAATGTTAAGGGACAAATATTAATTAATTTCTCCATTCGTCAGGAAAGCGTAGGCACGGTTAATAGGGTGCGTTATGGATGGTAATGCGCGATTTACATCCGTTGAGAGTGAGCAGTCGGGTAGAAAATGGAGCATCGTGCTTAGGCTAATACGATCAGGTGAGCAAACACGTAACAGAGCTTTCATCTTCAGTCGGCTATGTCTTAGTGCTTGCTTACACATTAGAAATGCTAACTTGCAATGCTCACTTCCACGTCGGAAACACACCGATCGTCTCCTATCGATATTTTCTTCAGTTAATTAACGCGAATGTCGACTGTACGTAATTGCATAACAAGGCGTACTGAAATAGCGTGAATAGATCTATAGCGTTAAGTGGTGGACAAAATAAAAGTACTGGTGCCAGTTGTACGAGACTGTGATACGTAAACAAGAGGGAACTATCGCCACCGAGCAAGTTTATTTACCAAACAGTGTGGTGCGGTGTCTGTATGCGGAGTTCGTGCCGGGCCAACTTCGTGTCGTCGACTTGTCGCGACTCCCTTCCTCCCTCCGCTCAACAAATGACAAATGTTTACTCAGCATCCCGGACAAATTTCTCATAACCTCTTTGCACTTCTGACACATATTTTATTAACATAACACCACTCGATACTGTATTGATACTCAAATAAAAAATACAATTTTGCAATTCTAAGACGCATTTAAAATGGGAAGAGCAGAACAGCGGCCATCTATCTCCAAGCTTGATAAACGACGACATTATTCGTTATCGCCTACTCAATTTGTTTAAAAGCATTCTACTTTGATAATTTGAGAATTACAAATCGTATCTTTTGACAGAAAGTGTCGTCATGAATGAAAAGCTTAGTTCGCTATTCGAATAGGTGCAGACAAATTGGCAAGGTTCACGAATAACAGTGATGTGTTACATAACATACTTTAATATTAACGTCGTATGATAAAAGTAGTACAACTTTTAGTAAAACTTTTCGCAATATGGTTCTATATCTAACAGTTAAGTAGAATTTAAAAACGCAAAACTAAGTTTGGATGACGAATATATCTTCCATTACCATGATTCTTATAATATATACAACGTATAATAATAACAATTTATAAAATCCTTCGAGCGGTTATGATGTTTCTAAATCTTTATTGGTAATTAGATAAAAATATTTTTCATAAACGACTGAAAAAGTATAGTAATTAAACTCGACAAATGAATAATATTTATCCACAATTACGAAGATAATTAGTGGAACAATTCGTTAATAACTTTAACACATACAATAATCATCCATACTCTATATTCTATATATTAATTTATTATAATTATTTCAGTGGTGGAGGAGCCAGAGTTCACAGAAGTCATACAAAACGTAACGGTTCCTGCGGGTCGCAGCGTGCGGCTCGCTTGCTCCGTCAAAAACCTCGGCTCCTATAAGGTATATTACAACTAGCAGGTTTGTATGAAAAAATGAGATTGTATGTTATCTCATCTAGTCATATTCTTCAACTACTGTAAAGAACTACGATTTCATAAATAAATAAGGCTTTAAGTTTAAAGCTAAAATCGATAAAAAATATTCAACTTGATTTATACACATAAATATAAATCGATTTCTTGTATATCTCCTAAAACTTTCTACTAATATACAATGTTTTAGCGATAAAAGCTTTTAGAGAGACAGATGTAACCTTTGAGAAATACAAGAGTCTTATCATTTGATTTAGACCGCCCCGTCAAAGTATTAAGTGCGTAGAGCGGTGGGTTGTTATTTAGAGTAAGCCACGCTTATAAAACCTTTAATATGAATTATTTTACTATATTTTAGTAAAACAATTCTAAACTATTACAAAGCAATTTACCCATTTTACTATGGTTTTATTAATAGGCGCTTAGTTAATGCAGCGCGTTCACTGTCTCACGAAAACAATATTTTTTCGAAACCTCATATCACTATTTGCAAAAAAATTCATAAATGGACAGACACATGAGTCACAGCCGTAATAATTTGGTTAGTTATTTACATCCTTAAACGAAGAAAGATAAGGTCCTGGCAAGGAATGCTCTTGCTTCTCACTGTTGTAGGTTTTATAATTGTTTCTTTAAATCAAACACAGTATTTCTAGATAAACCTCATAATACAATTTATTGCGCGATTGGCGCTAAGGTTAATCGTTTATCATCAAATAAAGTAAGTAGCTTTTGGTTAGTATAAGAGCACAACCGCTATAAACAATGAAAGCCAAGATAGTATTCTTACTCTTGAAATAAAGGCTTAAAGGAGCCATCACGGTTGCCCTGTATTGACAACAAGAAGCGGATTTTCTCGAAAGCTTCGCCTGTGCCATTAGTTTTCCGCATCGGTTAAAAAGATTTTCGTTCGTCTTTTTTACAAAGAATTATTAACTCGCACGAAATATTACGCTAGACAATTTTCTTATTGCCGTTTACTCAAGCGTTTTATTAAAATGTTTGTCTCCATTCTTATAATGTAACGTTTCTGTGAATTACGTAACAGATCTCCGCGATTGTCTGCGTAGAATTAGAATAAAGAGCATCCGCCTAAACAAGTATAATAGGCTTTTTTTGCATTTACTCTTAATGTGTAAGATAAATCAAATTTATAATATTAGTTTGGGTTATGTTAACATAGATGGCACTTCATTTTTTTATGGTAAAATTAAATTATAAATATATAATTTTAATCACAATTTAGTACTTAGTTCTAGTCTTTTCTTATCTAGATGGAAAATAATTAATAATAATTAAGCCTCATTTATTCCTTGAAACATTCTTCCAAATTTACAAACATACACACACTTAAAATTTTATACAAAAATAATTATATTTTTTTTTCAAGGACGTCTTATAGAGTATAAGCCTCCACCAAGTGAAAAATACGATATATAAATTAATACCTATATTTCTGCATACATTAAGTTTAAATTATTCTTAACCTACATACTATGTAGGTTAAGAATAATAAAAAGGTAATAATTAAAAAGGACTAAAAGAAAACTAAAAGAAATGCCTTATAACTTTTGTAACCTGTTTTTTTTATTTTTGTTGTGTATGTTTGTGAATAAGGTAATAAAGCATAAATAAATAAAGAACTTTCAAAGGTTTAGTCAATGTGGCAGTATATGTACCTTTAATGTTTATTCATGGAGCGAAGAATTTTTTTTCACATGTAAGTGATATGCATATTTTTTTTTAAATTATAATAATCTTCTTTAAACCTAAGAAAGCACCAGCTCTGGGGTTACCATTACTATCTACCCGGCGCCAACCCAACTCTTTCATTAGCGCCTGTGCACTTAAACCCCTCAGCCCAGAAGTCTCTACTCTAAAGGGAACAAAACAACAATAACATTTATTGTTGAAACTAGGGATGCATCGACACGCTTTTTTGCCTATACGATACCGATGCCGATACACTTATAGGAATATCGTCGATACCGATACCGATACCGATACCAACGCTTATTGAATTAAAATTAAATTAAGGTAAAATATATCGTTTAATAACTTTAATAAACTTTAACTTAAATTTAATAAAAGTTAAGTTAAAGTTTAAAATTTTTATTAAAAAATATATATAAAAAAATAGTCACAAACTTTGAATTATTTTAAAGGTTTTGTTACTAAAATTAAGAATTAAGAGTAATAATTTAATTAAAATAAAATAAATAACTGTTAAGGGTTGGGTTATACCTGGAATTTGTATATACAGGATTGGGGACCCTTGATTGGAACACTCAATGATTTTAGTTTAGGATAAGCGTAAATATTTAAAAAATTTTTTTAACTTTTTAATTATTGAAATTATAAACAATCATTATTAACATATTTAAAATTTCTATTTTATTGTTATATATGTTATTTTTCTATGTAAGTATTGAATTTTAAAAATCGATCTTATTTTCTCATTTGTTATTTTTAAAGTTGAACCTAATGAATGATTATTTTATTTGTTAATTTTATAGTTGAACCTAATTTAAGATTACTTCAAATTACATACATTACATTAACTTCATTTTAATTAATTATGTCGAAAATTTAAATTATTAAATAGTACCAAAACCGAATCAACACCCCACTATCATTTTTTTACCTAAGTGTATATAATAATAGGAGAAAGAGCCCATGTAAAAAGACAGATTATGAAAAAGGGGAAGGAAAATGGGAGGTTAAAATGCTGTTAAGTGAGGGCTGCATTTTAGCCAGCTTCCACAAAAACAAATATTATTTAGATTTATAAGTTAGTATATGAATATTTTAAAAGGAGAAGGTTGAATAAACAATTATATTTAATTTCAAAAAAAAATATTATTTAATATTAAGTTAGTAATAATATTTTGGAAGGGAAGAGCGAAGCCGAGTTAATAAACAATTATATTTAATATTCCACAAAAACAAAATTATTTAGATTTATGATTATATATAAATTTGTGAAGGAGCGAAAATTAATAAAAATTATATTTAATTTCAATAAAAAATATTATTTAATAGGTTAGGTTATATAAATATTAATATACTAACCATATAATATTAATAATTTAAAATAAATTATAAATATACAATAACCCCACTTCAGTTTTTTATATGTATATAAATAATAGGGGAGGAAGAGAGCCCCACCTGTAAAAAGCACAGATATAGTATGAGGGGAGAGGGACAAAGTGAGTGAATAAAATGCTGGGGAAAGGGTGGAGGGTGATTTAGGCCGATGTCCAAAAAAAAATATTATTTAGATTGTTAGTTAGATTAGTATATAATGGAGGACAGGAGCGAGGGAATAACAATTACTATTTAGATCAGCTTCCACAAAACAAATATTATTTAGATTTGGTTAGAGTTAATATATATTTGTGGAAGAAGACGGTTGAATAAACAATTATATTTAATGGTTCAAAAAAAATATTATTTGTTAAGTTATAATAATAAGGGGCTTGAATAAACAATTACTATTTAATATCCACATAAACAAATATTATTTAATATTAGGTTATATAAATATTAATATACTAACCTATATAATATGTTTTAAAACTTTCCGAAAATTATTAAATTATTCAAATATACCAAAACCGATCAGACCCATACGTCTGTTCTTCCCTATTATATAATAGGGGAGGAAACCCACCCAAAAGATTAGGGAACAGGTGAAAGTGGCTGGAAAACAAATATTATTTAGATTGGTTAGTTAGAGTTAGTATATGAATATTTGTGGAAGGAAGGAGGGTTGAATAAAAATTACTATTTAGATATTCAAAAAAATATATTTGTTGGTTGGTTAGATGTATATGATATGTCCCGAGGCGACCAGGACGCCGAGAAGCCGAGGCTTGAATAAACAATTACTATTTAGATGACTGTCCACAAAAACAAATATTATTTAGATTGGTTAGGTTAGGTTAATATGATATTTTAAACAGGAGAAAGTTGAATAAACAATTACTATTTAATGTTCCACAAATAAATATTATTTAGATTGTTAGTTATATAAATATTAATATATACTATATTAATATTTTTTAAATAACTGTTCCTGAAACTCAAAATCGAAAACAAAATCATTTAAAATCGGATAAAATCGAATACTAAATAATATTTTTGAATAATTATTTTCACTCTTTTCTATTATTTTTATATAATCATTTATATATGTTTCTGACAATAAATTTTTTATTTTTGAATTTATTTTATAATTTTTAAAATATATACTTTATATTTATAAATGATTTTGTATTTTAAATAATAAATAATTTATAAAAATAAAAAATTTAAAATAACTTACATATATTATAAAAAGGGGCCCCCTATAATTAAAATGAACAATGATAACATTGTTGTTATTCTGTATTTTATTAAATTTGGTATCGAAAAAATACTACTCGCGATAGCAGTAAGCCAACTAAATGATCTTCAAATCTACGTTCAATAAAGTCTCAATGATCTCCCGCAAGCCATAATATCTAATAACTATGCGCTGGTAAAGATAGTTGACTCGAGTAAAAATTTTGGTCTACTAATCCATCCCACAAGAGTTTTTCGTACTAACTACTAACTGACGTGAGACTGATCGTAAATTATCGTGATTCATGTGCACTTTTTATTTTTCATGTAGACTTTTTTTAGTTTATATGTTATATGTATTTTTGCCCTCCTTTTCATTTCATTATGTTCCATTTTTTATATTGTAATGCAACAAAGTGTTAATAAATATATAGTGTTTAGCGAAATGAAATACATATATACATAAATAATAATGCTTTGTCCCCAAGCGAATGATAGAGACAACAAACTGAATAAAACGCGGGGATTTCTCGGGCAACAATAGTCCTTGGCTCGTTTGCAACAAACTAGATCATACAAAATGCGCATGAAATTTGAAAAGTATCGGTGAATCGGCAATGAAAATATCGCCGATGCCGA